TTTTTGGTATAGGATATTTGTCTAATTTCGAAACCTGATTGACAGTGAATTTGTAATCACCGCAGATTATAATGCTACCATCTCCCTTGACAATGGGCACAATGGGTGTGGCCCATTCAGATAATTCTACTGACGAGATAGTTCCTTCTGATACCAAGCGATCCAGTTCCTGCTCTATTTTGTCCCTTAAAGCATAAGGCACAGGTCTAGCCTAGAAATACAATGGTTTGTGCGAGTTGTCCAGATACAATTTCGCCTTGGTTCCACGGATAGTACCTAATCCATCCCTGGACACTGACTCGTGTTTCCTCCAAAGGTTATCAACCTTATCCTCTTGTGGATCTTGCTTGACTTGGAATACCTGGCTCCAATCCAACTTTACCTGAGAAAGCCAATTCCGTCCAAGAAGACCGGGATAGTCTCCCTTGTCCACCACCACTGTCAGTATGCCTGTATAGTCTCCATATTTCACTGAGACGTCGCCTTCACCCCTTGATGGGATTGGTTCACCGGTGTAAGTCTTCAACTTCTGTTTGGTATCACTCAGCTTGACTGATAAGCCTTTGTTATTTATCTCTGCTAACGTATTCTCACCAATCACCGTAATCACTGATCCCGTGTCAATTTCCACTGTCACTTCTTTATTATTAACTTGCAGTGTCACTTCTTATCCGTTGGCTTTTCCCACTTGAAAAATGTTATACATAGAGTACTCCAGATCCTGTTTTATACAGAAGTTGTCTTCAACATGTGTACTTGAGTCTGTGCTTTATAAGGCTTACCTTTAGATCTTGGTATTTCGTTGTTCCGCCGTCGACTCAAACATTTTCCCTTTATTTGTCCTTTCTTTTTGCAATAGAAACATTCGCTGTCCTTGAATCGACACATTTTAAGGTTATGATTTTCCCCACACCTGAAACAGGGCTTATATTGACCTTGGACATGACCTCTTGACTGACCCTGAGCTTTCCTTTTATAGCGTGCACTGTTGCCTCGATTTAAATCATGCGACACTTTGTTGACATTGCTGTGTGCCTCGAACCTCCGTCCGGGTCCCTGTGCTCCCTGTAAGTCTATGACGTTTTTCGTTGCTGTTTCCATAGACAAAGATATTTCATAAGCACGTTTAAACGACAATTCTTTCTCTAACAACAGTCTTCGTTGAATTCTGTCATTGTTAACACCGCAAACAAGTCTATCGTGAATCTAGTGTAGCACCGTATTCACAATGTTCAGATAGATTTCTCAGGGCAGCTATGTATCGACTCACCTTCCTTCCGGAAACGGTTGTTGAAGTTGTATCGTTGCACTATCTCCGATGGACTGGGTGCATTATGATTCTTCACGATCTGTACCAAATCCGTGAATGACTTTTCTCTGGGTTTTACTGGAGCTAGCAGGTCACTCATCAACTTATAAATTCGTGGACCACATACGCTTAGCATTATTGCTCGCTGTTTAATCCTGTCGTCTGCTTCCTCAGTAATGCCGTTCGCGACAAAATACTGACCCAGACGTTCCGTGTAGTGCTCCCATGTTTCGCCCGATTCCTCGTAGGCTTCTATCTTACAGAATGCGGTCATTTCCCAGTTATCCTCGTCGCCAATGTAATTTGTTTATTGGTTTTGGTTCATTGCAGGTGACACCGTTGTAAGCGTCTAGTCGCTTCTTGAGGTGCTTCTTAATACTGTCTACTTCACTTCCGGTTGCATTTGGAGGCATTGAAGAAGACTTTATTTCTCAAAAACTAGTGAAAATTATGTACATGTGCAGTGAGTGGTAACAAACGTTGCTTCCTAATTTAATATAAAATAAGGGTATTCAGTTATAAAAAAGGACTAACAGGCCTGTATAGATCACAAGTCTCAACAAAAGAGTTGTTTTACTATCTAGTATGAATACACACATTGTGGTTAATTGGTTACAGACCTGTTAATGAGCTATACTTGGAAGTATAGATATTCAAAGGTTTCATGGGTTAAAAAATGCTAAATTTAAATTGGACATTAGGGAAGCCTGTATATATTACTACAGCTATATCCGTACTTTCAAACTGAAATGATATCCACTCATAGTTAAGCATTCTACACTCTGTTTTATCGACGGTTTCCGCACAATGATTTACTTGTTATAGAAGTCAAACTGGACTTAAAAAGCCACACCTCGCCGAAGGTTGAATTTGTCCATAATGAAGAAGCAAATGATTGTTACAGGGTAGAATTTATATATAAGTATATATGTAACCCTGGTAAATACTAGCCGCAATATATCGCTTGGCTATAGAGAACTTCTCTTTAGCTCGATCGGTTGAGCGTTAGACTAGTAAGCCAGAGGTCCCGGGTTCGATCCCATGCGGAGGTAGTGATTTATATTTAATCAATCATGCGCTCTGTTACATATATTACTTAGTAATATTGGAATATATTCTGTTGGTATAAAGTAAAATTAGGATAAATGTTATTGTTTCAGGGTAGAATTTATATATAAGTATATATAACTTAGTAATATTGGAATATATTCTGTTGGTATAAAGTAAAATTAGGATAAATGTTATTGTTTTAAATTATGTTATATTTTATGAGTCAAGCCACCTTAATATATATACACGTCGTATTTTTGTGTGTTGTGTGTTACGTATTAGTAATTAAGTATGTATGTTTTGACACATGGACTGTAGACTGACCAGTAAGTAGTCTTAGGATATGACCTTTGACATTTCATACCTCGGTACCTGGCAATCTTACCTAGGCACTATTCGTGCTGCAATGATTTTACATTACATGTTCCCATATATACATAACATGTACCCATATATACATTACATGTACCCATATATACATTACATGTACCCATATATACATTACATGTACCCATATATACATTACATGTACCCATATATACATTACATGTACCCATATATACATTACATGTACCCATATATACATTACATGTACCCATATATACATTACATGTACCCATATATACATTACATGTACCCATATATACATTACATGTACCCATATATACATTACATGTACCCATATATACATTACATGTACCCATATATACATTACATGTACCCATATATACATTACATGTACCCATATATACATTACATGTACCCATATATACATTACATGTACCCATATATACATTACATGTACCCATATATACATTACATGTACCCATATATACATTACATGTACCCATATATACATTACATGTACCCATATATACATTACATGTACCCATATATACATTACATGTACCCATATATACATTACATGTACCCATATATACATTACATGTACCCATATATACATTACATGTACCCATATATACATTACATGTACCCATATATACATTACATGTACCCATATATACATTACATGTACCCATATATACATTACATGTACCCATATATACATTACATGTACCCATATATACATTACATGTACCCATATATACATTACATGTACCCATATATACATTACATGTACCCATATATACATTACATGTACCCATATATCGGGAACCTCTACTCCATAGCTGTAGAGTAAGTGTTTGTTTGCTAAACATGTTTATCTAAACACTCTAGCTTATTTCTAAATAAGTAGTTACTGTTTCAAATTATCTGTTATATATACTTTCTATATACATGTATATATATATGGGTCATTTTAATATGCCTAGCCACAGTTGGAAAGACATGCAGGTTGTTGCCATAGATCATTGCCCTACATGGCATGAAACGAGACGACGTACGAGAGAACGGTTTTGGATCCCCAATCTACAAACCCGCTACCCTCGAGGTATGAACGAACGATAGGCGGTTGACATCCGCTCGTTTTCCTTCCAGGGGACATTTGACCTAATGGTGCATAACTGCACAGTTGGTCTGCTATCTCGCCTGCCTGCTGCTGCATGTCAGTGTGTGTGACCAACAGCCATTGTCAGATTAATTTTGCAGATTTATACAGTATCTTAGCCTTTTCATCTACGTATTCCTCCTGCACTCACTTATTTGATAATAACATGCATTGTTCCTGCAAACCGAAAGAGGCGACTAAGTGTGGACCTCCTGCTGTGACTGTTAAATCCACTGCAGAATTTAGAGGCGACTAATGAGGGCATTCCGTAGGAAATTGAGATTTTTCACATTTACAGGGCCAGATTCCCACATGCACATGTTCCACGTTTTTGATACCTCGTCCCTTCTTTCTGGTGCTTATCTCTCGTTGACTCACTTTATGTTATAGTGCATTTTGCGCAAGAATAGGTCATCTACATCAGCGTTCCTTGTCCGCGATGCTCCTAGCTTAATTGCTGCCTTCGGCTGTTCCAAGCACATTATGTATACCATAATGTGCCTGGAACAAAACGAAGTCAGGAGAACTCACCCTGTAACATGATTATATAATTGGCTTATTGGATGACAGGTTTAATTCCACAGGAAGGACGAGTGTACACCTCTGAGAAATCAAAATATTCATGAATTAATCTTTATTTCTGATATACATTCCTGAAAAAGGGATTATTAAACTATCTTAAATATTTAATGGATCAACCGAAAATAGGTTTCTCTTTCTAATACAGCCATATAAATGGGTGGTCCGTGTGCTTCTTGTTTGTCCCATTATTATGTTATTTCTTCACCATTTCACTTATAAAAGGCGATGTATTAGTCAACTGATCGGAATATGGTAGAATATGCCATTGTGATTTTATGATATATAGTGTCGCAGATTTCACTTACATATTGGTTATCAATTAGCCAATTACATTTGTATGTTATATATAGTGGCATATTAAACTTCCATACCTGTTATCAATTAATCAATTATGTTATACATTTATATAGTGTCACAGATTACACTTCCGTACCTGTTGGTATTTAGCCAATTATGTTTTATGTTTTGACTGTAAATAAGGTAGTCGGATCAATTATTTGAAATACTTGTTACTTCTTACAAAGACAACAAAAGAATCAAATACAATTATCATATTTCAGTAAGTACTTATTGGTCTTTTATTAAAGGAACACTCGTTAGAACAATTTACAAAACATATTTTGGTTTTCGTATTGTTTAACGGCCTATCCGCAATGTGAGTAATTTGGGGCCGAACAGCACTGTAAAAAGAGATATTCACAAAAATGAAAATATCAAACAAAAACTAAATAGATAGGAAAACAATTTATCGATAAAAAATATTTTATTACAAAACTAACATGGTGACATGGTTTTATACTACAATTTAAAATGTGATATCGGACACAATTACATACAGAGTCAATCGTTCACATTCTCATCGACTAGTCCTGATTATGTACCATGCTTGTAATATATGTTCAGTTCATTTAAATGTATTAAATGTCAACATTATCAATTGGATTTCTGGACAAGTAAATATATTTTCAACACACCGTACACATATGTGTATAGGGCTATTCTTTTTATTGTTTTTCTATATAGGTCATACAAATCACAACGTAGACTATCAAAAAGAAAATAGAAATTAAATGATAGTGATGTTCACTCAAATATCACATACATCATGAAATCTGTTTAATTCATATCAACACCAAGCAAAGTGACTTACAGACAATTGGGTATTGTTTTTCTTTTCATATTTTATGATAATGGAATATTTCTTTCACAAAATTTTCAAATATCAATTATTTATAGTGTACACATTTAAGCGGTAGTCTTATATTAGCGTTTTTCGCGCTTTACATTTTGCGCTAATTTTGAACGCGCCAATTGAACTTATTGTCTATTATTCTTTGATGTTTTTGTTCTTAATGCGCCTTTTAATATATGCGCTAATCTATTAAAATTCGAAAGTGCGCTATAATTTGAGCGCGTTCACCAAAATTCAAATACAGTTACATCTTCAATATCCCAACGAAACATAAAAAAATGCTGATGATAACGAGATCACATTGGCCGGTGACGGTGATAAAACAGATACGAACTTGACAAGCGATGTCTTCACAGCGTAAATTAACATCTAATATCAAAGTATATAAAGTTATCAGTCTCCCATCACAGCGTCAATTAGCATCTATTATCAAAGTGTATAAGTTATCAATGGTGGATTACTCACAAATGTATTACATCAATAGAAACTACTCGAAACGATAGTTTTCTGTAATTCCAAAACAATGCATTGAAAAGCGTGAGGTTTGTAGAGCTTCAGTGGACCATGGATTTCCTAAAACAAATGTTTTCTTTATAATTCGATTGAACGGAAAGCTTAACAGATACAACGACTAAGACAAGTGATATAACAAATAGAAAAATAAAAGTTGACTCTAGGATCACACACAGTCATACTACACTAACTCCAGGATCACACACAGTCATACTCAACTAACTCCACGATCACATACAGTCATACTCCACTGGCTCCAGGATCACACACAGTCATACTCCACTGACTCCACGATCACATACAGTCATACTCCACTGACTTCACGATCACATACAGTCATATTCCACTGACTCCAGGATCACACACAATCATACTCCACTGACTCCACGATCACATACAGTCATACTCCACTGACTTCACGATCACATACAGTCATACTCCACTGGCTCCAGGATCACACACAATCATACTCCACTGACTCCACGATCACATACAGTCATACTCCACTGACCCCACGATCACACAGAGTCATACTCCACTGGCTCCAGGATCACATACAGTCATACTACTCTGACTCCACGATCACACACAGTCATACTTCACTGACTCCAGGATCACACACAGTCATACTCCACTGACTCCACGATCACACACAGTCATGCTACTCTGATTCCACTATCACACACAGTCATACTACACTGACTCCACGATCACACACAGTCATACAACACTGAATTCAGGATCACACACAGTCATACTCCACTGACTCGAGGATCACCAAGTCATACTACACTGACTCCACGAACACACACAGTCATACTCCACTGACTCCACGATCACCCACAGTCATACTACACTGACTCCACGATCACACACAGTCATACTACACTGACTCAACGATCACCAACTGTCATACTACACTGACTCCACGATCACACACAGTCATACTACAAACAGAAAACCGTTAGAGTTCAGCAAATGATCACCCGAACATAAAAAATATTTCAGTTAAGACCACAAACAGACAAAAATATGCCGATTACAAAACATGATTCAGTCACACACCAAAACCAGAAAAGACAACAACGATAAACAGCAATCCGGGGCCGTGTAAAGGCATTATTTGAAAATTGCTAATTACAAAGTAACATTAAAACATATTTAATGTCTTAGCACGCTTACCATATGTTACTGTCGACAACGACAAAGAAAGAGATATGTACATATTCTGATTGATGATCGAAATATTCTTGACAAGCAACAAGACTTGCAAAGATAAAAATAAATAATTACGGAAAACATCGTTACTGATGATTTGCAATAGCATAAGTGATCAACAACCAGTGTACAAGTACTGTTACCGATGAACGCCTGAAGGTTATGCTGAGTCAAAAATTATACAAAATATTATCCACGTGAAACTTCGATTCACCGAATAAAATATGTCACTTACAATAACCGTATTCGTTACGGAATACAATCATGTAAAACGCTTTTTCAAACAAATGTGAATATCTGTTCAACAATAATATAGAGTATATTAAAGAATGAGTCGTATAGAGTTATGATGAATATTAACACGCATTGAAGCAGTTTTCTGCAGCCGTACCAATTGTCTCTAGCGGAATGTATGATTTACAACTGGCGCTACTTCTATTAACAATTCTCACCTAACAACAAATTTAAAAAACACACATTTGGCGTTCTTAAACCGTATTTATTTTCGATCCCTCAAATTTCTAACAAACATCTAATTTCAACTAAGTATCACTTTGGAATACATATTTGCAATATTCATAGCGCTTTAGGAAGAGTACCGATACAATTGGTAAGTTTACAGTAAACTATCTGAATTAAGTTTTAAACTTGTTTATATGTTACATGTATGTAGCGTACCATGTCAGGATAATTAGCCCACATCATCATTGGAATGCTGTATTTACAAAAAATACTTTAAATCTAAAATCATTTCAACGTTCTGACATAAATTAACATTCTCATCAGACACGAACAAACGGTATAGCCTACAGTCCTCTTTAATTATTAACTATTGTTTTTTCCTTTCAAAGTAAAATGGATTCGTCAAAACGAAGTCCATAACTCCCTGTGAAAACAGAATTAATTAAATTGTTAGATCCTACATTTTCAAATTGTAATCAGAAAATAATTCGAGATTGAGATTTTCCGTTTCTATTTGGACAATGTATCCAGCCTACAACGACATTCAATCTGGTCCAAGAGATGCTCCTTTTTAATTTCAATTTGCTGCCATGTTGTACACTTTCCTGTTAAAGTTTACTAAAATATAAACTGGTATCACCGCTTTACGAAAATGCTCAATAAACTAATACTACATGTGACCAATAATAGAATAATGTTTGTTTTTATCACAACTGCACCGCCCACCCCGGGCTCCAACGCTCCCTTCCGGCTTGTTATTTCCGGTTCCGGAATCGACAGTAACATTTTATCGACGATATGAATTATTCCGTTCTTTGCTAATATATTTGATTTGATTATTTTGGTTTCAATTTCATTCCAAAGCAAGAAGCAGTCTGAAAAGAAAAAAATAAGAATGAAAATATGTGTACATAAACGCAGGCACATACATTATTACATTCACCTTTCAATAACAACGTACACTACAAAAATATACTTCCAGATCCTCAATAATTTAGTTGTGTATACAACAAGTACTAATTGTAATGGGGGACCATTACAGATGTCCCTTAAAACTGCCCCCGTAGTCGCAAAGATGCATCAGAAAAGGATCACAATGGCAGAGTACAACTACAATGTACATACTAAATTTGAGTGAAATTGAGATATTGAGAAATTGCGACCAATCAGAAGCCTCTGTGTGGTTGCTATGGCAACGAAACCTATGCGGTTGAATTCGCAGTCCCCTTATACCCCTATATACCAATTTTCATCGAGATTGTTCGCGTTTGTTTCCTAATCATAAAAACAGGATTTGTGGAAATGTCTTTAAATATAGCTTCTTAATCTCGGTACTGTAGTGTATAGGTGACCATACTTAATCTCGGTACTGTAGTTTATAGGTGACCATACTTAATATCTGTACTGTAGTGTATAGGTGACCATACTTAATCTCGGTACTGTAGTGTATAGGTGACTATACCTAATCTCGGTACTGTAGTTTATAGGTGACCATACTTCATCTCGGTACTGTAGTGTATAGGTGACCATACTTAATATCGGTGCTGTAGTGTATAGGTGACCATACCTAATCTCGGTACTGTAGTTTATAGGTGACCATACCTAATATCGGTACTGTAGTGTAAAGGTGACCATACTTATCTCGGTACTGTAGTTTATAGGTAACAATACCTAATCTCGGTACTGTAGTGTATAGGTGAACATACTTAATCTCGGTACTGTAGTGTATAGGTGAACATACTTAATCTCGGTACTGTAGTGTATAGGTGAACATACTTAATCTCGGTACTGTAGTGTATAGGTGACTATACCTAATCTCGGTACTGTAGTTTATAGGTGACCATACTTAATATCTGTACTGTAGTGTATAGGTGACCATACTTAATCTCGGTACTGTAGTGTGTAGGTGACCATACTTAATATCGGTACTGTAGTGTATAGGTGACCATACTCAATCTCGGTACTGTAGTGTATAGGTGACCATACCTAATATGGGTACTGTAGTGTATAGGTGACCATACTTCATCTCGGTACTGTAGTTTATAGGTGACCATACTTAATCTCGGTACTGTAGTGTATAGGTGACCATACTTCATCTCGGTACTGTAGTGTATAAGAATATTTACCTTCACCCCTCACAATGTTGTCTACACGTGTAGTATCGTTGTGACTGGAGTTCCCTTTCTGTATAAAATCAGCCAGTGTGACCATACTTCCATTAATCACGTGACGTCGGTATACCTGGAACAATACATTTGATGATATTTCAGATTAAGCTGGAAAAAATGTAGGCATTGAAAGGACTGCAAACAGCTTGGCCAAGATGACCAGCTGGCTCCGTTGGCTAGAGCGATAGTATAACAATCTGACGTTCATGGTTCGAATCCCGGTCTAGTCCCAGTGTTTGTTTACCATAAGAACACTTGTTGATTTTTGTGTTATTTCATCTCTATTGCTTTTCATAAAAGTGCCGCACGGTATGGCTTAGTGTTATATCCCTAACCCTAACCCTAACCCTATATCAAAGCTTTAGTCACGCCGGCTAATTCGATTTCCGATAAATGTAACTAAACTTATAACAGGCTTCACAGTATCTCAATTAAAGTATCTCCAAAACAATAAGCTAGAGTTATCTCCCCTATCAACATGTCGTTAGAAGCGAGACAATAAGCTGGAGTTATCTCCCCTATCAACATATCGTTAGACGCGAGTTATTAGACTGACATATGGTATTGGAATGGCATGCAACATAAGTAAATCTAATGAACTTGTTGCTTTGTCTAGCCCCTGATAATGGTTTTATTCAGTAATGTTCCTACCCCTTCTTTATCTGTGACGTTAGGACGGAAGTCGTTCTTTATATTCTGTAGGGCAGCCTCCTCCGGTAGAAACAGGGTATAAATTTGTCCTTCGTCCGCGAAAATGTCCTCAACGTCGTCGGGTAGAAAGTCCATGAATCTTTGTGCTGTATCGCTGTTAACATATGGAAATCATATCAATTACGGCAATGATATCACACGCCTCAAAGTAGTATCATGTCATGTATTGTAATACTGTTAAGCCGACTGTGTAATGTCATGTATTGTAATACTGTTAAACCGACTGTGTCATGTCATGTATTGTAATACTGTTAAACCGACTGTGTCATGTCAGGTATTGTAATACTGTTAAGCCGACTGTGTCATGTCATGTATTGTAATACTGTTAAGCCGACTGTGTAATGTCATGTATTGTTATACTGTTTATCCAAAGGTGTGTCATGTGGTGTTGTGTTTTCCTGGAAATGAATGTTTGGAACGCAATTGAAAAAAGATAGGACTATAGCAGAGTGATGCCATGTTTTAAGTTTATATTATATTGCTTTATGATGTTAATACTATTTTAGTAATGGTGACAAGTTTGTAATAAAATGATATGTTGTTTGTGTTATCATATTGACGATTGTATTCAAATATCTTAAGCTCGTTATGAATTTGGTTTGTAAATAGATGAAACTGACAGCAGTTCACGCCAAATACGTTTACAAAGAGATCGACATTCCGTGATCATACTGATATCTGTTTTAGCGAGGTGATTCAACAGCGACTTGATCCATATATCAGACAAATACACTTAACGGTTGAACGCCACCTTAATGAATGACAGAAGTTTGTTGAACTTTGACACAATATACGTGACATGTTAGGTTAAGTAAAACAAGGAAGCTATTGGGTATGCTAAAACATCCTATAGCAGAGCCTGACTTATCCCTTACCCGTCTTAATGATAGAACACTTCACACATCTATTGAGCTATATACTGATACTAATCACACAAATGTTTATCTAACATCTATTGAGCTATATACTGATACTAATCACACAAAGGTTTATTTAACATCTATTGAGCTATAAACTGATACTAATTACACAAAGGTTTATTTAACATCTATTGAGCTATATACTGATAATTATTACACAAATGTTTATTTAACATCTATTGTTTTATATATTCGATACGTACTTGAGTGTTGCGTCCGACTCGAGCTCTTGTCTAATGTTGAGGAGCGACCAGCTTAGAAATCCGTCTATTGTATACAGAATGCCGTTACTGCACGCCACGCCATCCCGCACTATATCCAGGGGCTGGTGTAGGTTACTGTAGCCCGCACTGATTGTTACACCTACAGTAATAGGTAAGATACAATAATTAGTAGAAAGAGTAGAAATACAGGTTTTAAATTTTATATCAGCCAATACAATCCGTACAAAACAAAACATAACTATTGAAGTCTACACTGTAGTACGTTACTCCAGAGCTTGTAGGAACAAACAATAGATAACTAATACAACAGTGTCAACACCTTAGCAAATACTTGATCTCAGAAAGGACAAAAGAAAACAACGGGAAAGGCGGACACACAAATATTCACGAAACTATTACAAGTTGGAGACAATAGTAGGTGCCTTGCAAATGTATCTTAAATTGGCAATTTCTGATCTAATGTTTATCTTTCATATAAGTTTCTTCTCATGCCTAAGTTTTTCGTTTACAATTAAATTAAGTTCTTATTTTTGAATAGGTTTTAATGTTAACAGTAAACCATTGATCCCCTAATTGATCATCTTACCTTGGTTTTAATGTTAACAGTAAGCCATTAATCCAATATTTGATCATCTTACCTTGGTTTTAATGTTAACAGTAAGCCATTAATCCAATATTTGATCATCTTACCTTGGTTTTAATGTTAACAGTAAACCATTAATACAATAATTGATCAGTTTACCTTGGTTTTAATGTTAACAGTAAGCCATTAATCCCCTAATTGATCAACTTACCTTGGTTTTAATGTTAACAGTAAACCATTAATATAATAATTGATCATCTTACCTTGGTTTTAATGTTAACAGTAAACCATTAATCCCATAATTGATCATCTTACCTTGGTTTTAATGTTAACAGTAAACCATTAATTCCCTAATTGATCATCTTACCTTGGGTTTCGTCCTCGAATTTAAACGTAGAGCTGTTCTGTCCAGTATACACATACTCGCTGACGAATTTCTGCCTCAGGTACATACTGTCAAGTCTAGCTCCGGGGATCACGTGGCCAATAAATATCTAAAAACATCCAATCAAGTTTTTGTATTTGTCAATGAATATAGAACAGAATGAATAGACAAAATCTTCATTGTAAGAAAATTATCCTAATATCAATTGATATTGAATTTAAAAATGTACCTTTCTTAAGATTTCTGGGTTGGCTAAGATAGCGCTCGACTCGTTAGTTGATATCGACGCCAGGAATGTAGAGCTTGGTACGAATATTGTCATCTGCTGGCCATCGTCAGCAGCCATTAACTGGAACTCAACAAGCAGGGACATCAAGTCGTAGAAAGCACTGGAATAAACAGTACTCCTAATGAAACATCGCTTAGAATAGAAGAGATTACACTAACGAAGTCATACAATATTCACTAAGTGTATGAACAATTCAGGGTTCCTGTCTACTCTGACTTTTCTTATAAACACTAACATTCCCTGTATTGCGTTTTTGATAAACTAAAGGCCAGTTGGTTCAGACACTTGCGCTGACCACGTGACTCAGTCGTTTAGAGAGATAATACAATAATAAGAAGTACGGAGTTCGGATCCCAGTCTCTTGTCATTAGTTTAATTGCTTACCGCTTTACCACTTAGAATGTCTTCGTCAATCCTGAGGGTATGATAATTAGTACGTAGAAGGAGTAATGATGTATGGGAACCAATGACATATGACATGACAATCAGATCTGAACAGGAGAGGTCATGTGTAAAACAGGGTAAAACAGACTGCATGAGCTCAAAGCTATTGTGTTTAAGGACTGTAAAAGCAGGAATCAGAGAAAAGGGTCGTTTTCTACAGTGAGGGTATGGCTGAGAAACCAACCCTCAGGATTCGATTCTTAATGTCTAACCCGGGATTCGATGCAATCTGTAATCCTCCAGTGAGACTATCAACAATATCAGCCCTGAGGTTGCAACTTCTCTGTCATACCATTACGGTACGGTACATCTCTTGTCTCCATTAGTGATTGTTTTGAAATGTATCTTTAACATCAAAAACAGGTTCAAGATTGAAAATCAAGGATAGAAATTAATATTTATAAATTATCATTCAAGACACTAACTTTGTCAGCGTCAAATTGGGAATATGAAGTAACGTTCAGCAAGTCTTTGTCAAAACCGGGAGTGTGGTCAGCAATAGGATCGCTCCTGTGTTTGTTAAGACCGGGAATGTGGTCAGCAATATGATCAGACCGTGAGTGTGGTCAGCAATATGATCAGACCGGGAGTGTGGTCAGCAATAGGATCACTCCTGTGTTTGCCAAGACCGGGAGTGTGGTCAGCATTAGGATCGCTCCTGTATTTGTTAAGACCGGGAATGTGGTCAGCATTAGGATCAGACCGGGAGTGTGGTCAGCAGTAGGATCACTCCTGTGTTTGTCATGACCGGGAGTGTGGTCAGCAATAGCATCACTCCTGTGTTTGTCAAGACCGGGAGGGTGGTCAGCAGTAGGATCACTCCTGTGTTTGTTAAGACCGGATGTGTGGTCAGCCATATGATCACTCCTGTGTTTGTCAAGACCGGTAATGTGGTTAGCAATAGGATCACTCCTGTGCTTGTCAAGACCGGGAGTGTGGTCAGCAATAGGATCACTCCTGTGTTCGTCAAGACCGGGAGTGTGGTCAGCAGTAGGATCACTCCTGTGTTTGTCAAGACCGGGAGTGTGGTCAGCAGTAGGATCACTCCTGTGTTTGTCAAGACCGGTAATGTGGTCAGCAATAGGATCACTCCTGTGCTTGTCAAGACCGGGAGTGTGGTCAGCAATAGGATCACTCCTGTGTTTGTTAAGACCGGATGTGTGGTCAGCGATATGATCACTCCTGTGTTTGTCAAGACCGGGAATGTGGTCAGCAGTAGGATCACTCCTGTGTTTGTCAAGACCGGGAGTGTGGTCAGCAATAAGATCACTCCTGTGTTTGTCAAGACCGGAGTGTGGTCAGCAATAGGATCACTCCTGTGTTTGTCAAGACCGGGAATGTGGTCACCAATAGGATCACTCCTGTGTTTGTCAAGAACGGGAATGTGGTCAGCAAAATGATCACTCATGTGTTAGCAGTCAATGTCCAAACCAACAACGTTACAATATATTTGTTATATGATAATAACAAACACAGGGTTTTCCCGGTTAGTATGTTACTAATTATAATAGATGTACACGTGTCCTGTTTGGTCGTTTTACCTGAAGCGAGGATCCTTTGCCATAGTTTCCGCCACAGTGAGGTAAGGGAAATACAACAGACGGTCTATCACGTGCAGTTTCCCATTAGTGGCCCGGATGTTGCTCTTCAGTATTTTGGCTTTCACGTTATTGTTGATAATTACAACTGCAATAGAGATACAAAATATTGTTATGACTACTTATGTCATAGAGGTTTAACTGATATAAGATACATCATCCAAACACAACATGACAACGTGACCCAGTGGTGGAGGGCTGGTGATCGTAGACGGTTCTGTATTACATGTGTGTTTGAAACCCAGTAGTGGAGGGCTGGTGATCGTATACGGTTCGTTATTACATGTGTGTTTGTAACCCAGTGGTGGAGGGCTGGTGATCGTATACGGTTCTGTATTACACGTGTGCTTGTAACCCAGTGGTGGAGGGCTGGTGATCGTAGACGGTTCTGTATTACACGTGTGCTTGTAACCCAGTAGTGGAGGGCTGGTGATCGTAGACGTATTACATGTGTGCTTGTAGCCCAGTGGTGGAGGGCTGGTGATCGTAGACGGTTCTGTATTACATGTGTGCTTGTAACCCAGTGGTGGAGGCCTAGTAATCGTAGAAGTTCAGTATTACATGTGTGCTTGTAACCCAGTAGTGGAGGGGTGGTGATTGTAGACGGTTCTGTATTACATGTGTGCTTGTAACCCAGTGGTGGAGGGCTTGTGATCGTAGACGGTTCTGTATTACATGTGTGCGTGTAACCCAGTGGTGGAGGGCTGGTGATTGTAGACGGGTCTGTATTACATGTGTGCTTGTAACTCAGTGGTGGAGGGCTGGTGATCGTATACGGTTCTGTATTACACGTGTGCTTCTAACCCAGTGGTGGAGGCCTAGTAATCATAGAAGTTCAGTATTACATGTGTGCTTGTATCCCAGTGGTGGAGGGCTGGTGATCGTAGACGGTTCTGTATTACATGTGTGCTTGTAATAGATCACGGATCTTCAGCTCCTCTGACATTTAATTGCTGCACCTACTCTACTTCCTTCACACACAGATCTACGATAATGCTACATAAGACTTCCAATTCGGTCATTGCGTAATCCTTTTAACCTTTTCCACTGAAACTGGACTTCACCTGCGGTCAACATGATCAAATCCAATTACAAAAACAATTAGGAGCCAATTAACGACACGTGAATCTAAGGGTAGAACTGACCATCATCGCTTCCCTCCCTGAAGATGTGTATGAATTCCTCCTCTGCCAACAGGAGGTCGCCGTCACTGAAATCCTCGGCATACAAGCTCATGTTGGGGACCACGTGCGCCTTTAGTATCTACAATAGAGTTCAAGTGGCATGCATCGTGCACTGTATGTTGAATTATTAATTATTAATTGTAAAACTTTGACAGAACTTGCTTTGCCCGATGAGAATATCGCATGCAATTAGGTTACTAAGCAAATCGTTAATATTCCTCTTTTAAGACAAAACACTAGAAAGGTTAACAACATGTACTAATCACCATTTATAATATCACTAGAAGCATGAAATAAACCACCAATCAATAAAAATAGATGTTCTAATGCAGAAAGCTAATCAAATGAAACGTTAAATGTTACATATGATCATTTCGTCTATGAATGACTCATCTGTGGTACTTAGTTAAATGTTACATATGTTCATTTCGTCTATGAATGACTCATCTGTGGTACGTAGTTAAATGTTACATATGATCATTACGTCTATGAATGACTCATCTGTGGTACTTAGTTAAATATTACATATGTTCATTTCGTCTATGAATGACTCATCTGTGGTACGTAGTTAAATGTTACATATGATCATTACGTCTATGAATGACTCATCTGTGGTACTTAGTTAAATGTTACATATGATCGTTTCGTCTATGAATGACTCATCTGTGATACTTAGTTAAATGTTACATATGATCAGTTCGTCTATGAGTGACTCATCTGTGGTACTTAGTTAAATGTTACATATTATCATTACGTCTATGAATGACTCATCTGTGGTACTTAGTTAAATGTTACATATGATCGTTTCGTCTATGAATGACTCATCTGTGATACTTAGTTAAATGTCACATATGATCAGTTCGTCTATGAGTGACTCATCTGTGGTACTTAGTTAAATGTTACATATGATCATTACGTCTATGAATGACTCATCTGTGGTACTTAGAGTACCAAAAGTATGTAGAAGTTTGTCTATAAAATCTTTATACAATAACAAAATTGCAGATATAGCATTACATAATTATGTTCAATTTTCGGTACAACAGACAATTGATATATTCTTGTTGACTAGTACTCCGTGTAAACAGAAATAGTATACGTTACCACAAATGAGAGTACTGTACTACCAATATATTTTAGATGCCCCACCTTTTCCATATATGGTTCATCCTGAAGCATCTTATCAACCCGAGATCTCGGCACGACATCAAAGGCGTCGTCAACAGGCACGAAAACGGTGAAGAACACATCCTCAGTCCATAACTTGGACCTCAGGCTCGACATTTTAGGCATCGAGTAAAAAGACGTCTGAAACCTGACGAAAGGTCAATATGTGAATGAATAGTTCTCAAATGTTTATAAAATTATTTATATAAAATATAATATTATCTAAACATACAGTGACATAAAAAATAGAAAATGCTTGATCATATGCAATTCACTGAATCTGTGTAGTGTGACACATGAACTCACTCTAAATCGGTGTAGCGTGCCATCTGTTCCAGTATGTTACGTGTGGGCACGTGTAACAGGTCGTCGATGATATGAATAACGCCATTTGAACACAGGATGTCCATTACAACGACCTTGGCGAAGATGTGACTTCCGGTCACGCCGAAACCTGGAGAGTCACAGAAATACAGTAAAACATGACAATGTACCGGGGATCAGTATCGATTGTAGAAGTTGTTATTTATCACGGAATAATAATTTACCATTTTCTAAATTCACATGACCTTGGTATGTTTAGAGTGAATACGCTAAGAATTCTTACCACAATAGTTAGACATCACGTCGGACGGGTGTTATTTCGGCCAATGGTGCCTTTTATGCAATTTAGACAAAAAGAGTGAAGAGCAGTTAATCACGTTTGACCGTCTTTACTCTTACAAGAAAGGTGAAAGCAGCTTTAACATTTGGTGATAGATCCAGTATGCCAAAACAAAAATGAATAACAATGTGACATACAAATACTTCGTCCTTTTATGACTCATGGGTGATGTTAGGGGGACTCATGGGTGATGTTAGGGGGACTCATCGGTGATGTTAGGGGGACTCATCGGCGATGTTAGGGGACTCATAGGTGATGTTAGGGGGACTCATCGGCGATGTTAGGGGGACTCATCGGTGATGTTAGGGGGACTCATCGCTGATGTTAGGGGGACTCATCGGCGATGTTAGAAAGACTCATCGGTGATGTTAGGGGGACTCATCAGTGATGATAGGAGCAAAGATGTCAATCCAAATTGACTAAACAATTGTTAAACAAGAGGGACAGGTGCGTAAACCCTATTTATCAGTTAAACCAGAGGGACAGGTGCGGAAACCCCATTTATCAGTTAAACCAGAGGGACAGGTGTGGAAACCCCATTTATCAGTTAAATTAGAGGGACAGGTGCGGAAACCCCATGTATCAGTTTAACCAGAGAGACAGGTGCGGAAACCCCATTTATCAATTAAACCAGAGGGACAGGTGCGGAAACCCATTTATCAGTTAAACCAGAGGGACAGGTGCGGAAACCCCATTTATCAGTTAAACCAGAGGGACAGGTG